AGAGGAAGCAGCTAATGTGATGGTTATACAAGCGATGTTGGAATGGCTTTTTGGTGATCAGGATACCCAATGAGTATGCCCCTTACACAGGTCATGGAAGACAGGTAATCAAGGCAGCCCCTTCTATATGGGCACTCCATGTAACTTTGCTACTGTGAAACACAGCAAAAGTCCGAGAAGCTGTGTCAGGTCTGTTTGGTACAGCTTCCCTGCATGGGGCTTACAGGTCCAAGAAACTTAACAGTGATTCACTGTTGTTGTTGTTATGTGCCGTCGAGTCAGACCTGACTCACAGAAGATTGGAAAGTGGCAATGGGGAAAGAACTGACCTCAGCAGGTTGGTGATTTTTAGGAATGGCATGAATACAGCAGACAATGATGGCATTGAGACAAAAATGCAGCATTACAGGAAGTTGAGTAAACCAAGAGAAACTACTGTTGGTCCCCCAACGTTAAAGAGGCCTAAACAGACTCATTCTATTCACTCTAATTGGGGGGAATTTAATGATAGGAAGCTCTACCTGGGGCCAGGTGAAGCAGAAGCTCAGCTAGTTGATGAAGATAAGGACTGACAAGGGGGCCAGGGTCCTCAAGTCCAGCCTCCAGCAGGGGACCCAAGGCCATATGCATATGTGTGGATGAAAGGCCTGGGGATGGAGGAGAGACCTCCCTGGGGCTCCAGTAGCCCAACATACCGTCATCCCAAAACCTGTCAATGAAATCTTTAAGGGGCCTAAGGTTGGGGGTATTGGGGAGATATGAGAATGCAATACTTGACGGGACTAAGGCAAAAGTTTGGATGACAACTGGAAGATTTAAATAGATGTTGTATGAAGTAGTTGTATCTCTCTCACTGGAATGTATTATTCATATGAATAGTATATCTAAATTGAGAATACTCCCTCTTTCTGATATTGTAAAACTGAAGGTGTGTAAATCTGCCCTTAGGCCAGTATTGATTGGACATGTTAAATGGCAACCATTAGAATTGCCTAACCCACTCAGGTTGCTACTTTGAAACAGTATAGGTAGACAAAAGGCAATTTCTGCTTTGATTAAAGACATACTAAAGGTTGGAATATTGGTGCCCCAAAATTCACATCCATGTATGGCTTGTGAAAAAGGCAGATGGCTCATGGAGACTGATAGTAAACTATCGAGGCCTAAATAAAATAATGCCACCAGTGGCTTCAGCTGTTCCAGACATGGTATTGACAGTACAGAAAATACAGCAGACTGTATAGGAAAGAAGGACACAGGGAAAAGGTAACCACAGGGAGGAAGTGATAAGAGAGCTGTGACATAATGGGGATTGCTATCAATGTCAGGAAACAAAATGTGTATGAGCTATTGAATGGAAAAAGAATTTGCTCTGTAAATTTTCATCTAAATTACAACAATAATAATAATAATAAAGACAACAGGCTAAAGGAGCTCTGGTGGTGCTGTGGTTAAATTATCCAGCTGCTAACCAAGAGGTTAGTGATTTAAACCCACCAGCCACTCCATGGGAGAAAGATGAGGTAGTCTGCTGGAAAATCTCCTCTTGGCTCTGGAAGCCATAGTCGGTGGAAATTGCATATCTAAACTGCTTACGTGGTGGTAGAGGCTGTCAAGCCTGAAATCCATGTATCAGACATTGGTCTGGAGGATTCTCCTCACTCATGTGGTTGCAGGGGCTGATGAACCCAAATTGGTAGGTCAGATGTCTGGCTGCTGTGTCAAGTCCCAAGAACCAGGAATGAAATGTTGACAAACCAGATGCAGGATCTAATGGCTGCAGGGGATATCAAGCTTAATTGGCATAACATACAATACAGAAACATTGTTCTACATATCCTACTTTGGTGAGTAGCGACTGGGGTCTTAAAAGCTTGCAAGTGGTCATCTAGATGTAACAATGGGTCTCTCCTTGTCCAGAGCAAAGAAGAACGAAGAAAACCAAAGATACATCAAAAGAATTAGTTCAAGAGACAAGCAGACCACGTGAATCTCAGCCTACATAACTGTGAGACCTGAAGAACTAGATGGTGCCTGGCTACCACTGTCAACCACTCAGAAAGGGATCAGTGCAGGAGATCCTAGATAAAATGGGAGAACAATGTGGAACAAAACTCAAAAGCATAAAAGAGACCAGATTTACTGGTCTGATAGAGCCTAATGAGACCCCCAAGACTATGGCCCCCAGTTACCCTTCAGGTCTGAACTCACTCCTGTGGCTTCCAGCCAAACAACAGACAGGCATATAGGGTGAACATTTACAAGAGGTAGATACACTCCTTAGATCAATCAATCATGGAAGGAAAGAAGGGCAGTATTTGCACAGGGAGACAGCTCAGGTGGCAGGAATGCATAGGAAAGGACACAGGGAAGAGGTAACTACAGGAAAGAAGTAGGAAGAAAGCTGCTACATTTCAGGGATTACAGTCAATGTCAAGAAACAAAATGTGTATGAACTGCTGTACAGAAAATGAATTTGTTCTGTAAACTTTCACCCAAATCACAATAAAAATTTTACCAAATCACAATAAAAATTTTAAAATACAAAAAACACCAGATGCAGGATCCAGAGCAAGAGAGTAAATTTTGCAAGAACATTCACATATATACCATTAAGAAAACTAAGGGTGGTGATTCGAGTCACACCCTCCAGCAACGGTAGACTCAAGATACATCCCACCCTAATACTGCCTCATCAATGCAACAGACAACTCACTCCAAAATGGGACCATAACCATGGGCACAGAAAAAAACCCACTGCCATTGAATCGGATCCGACTCATAACCACCTCTCCTTGGGTTCCAAGGCAGTATTACTACGGAAGTAGATTGCCCAACCTTCCTTCTGAGGAATGGCTGGTGGGTTTGAACTACCAGCCTTCTGGTTTGCAGTTAAATGCCTTATGTACGATGCCACCAGCGCTCCCAAACATAGGCCTACAGGCTATAATTTACAATATATCACAAAATGGAGGACTATGGGAGCTTTGGTAGCATAGTGGCTAAGGCACTTGACTGCTAACCAGGAGGCTGGCAGTTCAAACCCACCAGCCATTCTTCGGAAGGAAGATGGGGCAATCTACTTCCGTAGTGATACTGCCTCGGAAACTCAAGGAGGGGTCGCTATGAGTCTGGTCCGACTCGACAGCACATAACAACAATAACATGCTTATTATTATTATTATTATTAATATGCTAGAAGGGCATATTAAGCAATTCACTGCACTGTAGATATGTATAGCAATTGTTAAATGGGAACTTAATTTGCTCTGTAAACTTCTACCAAAAATAATATTATAATTAAAAATGTTTAAAATAAGTAAAAGTAAACCAGGATCTCTGTTTCCAGGAATAAAGCCAGAACCAACCTACTTGCTGAAAACTAATGAAAATGCCAGATAAAACATTATTTTAACTGCACACGTATAAACTGCTGAATTGAAGTATGTTCTGCTCTGGGTATTCTCAACAACAAAATAAATACAATTTAAAGAAAATTTTTAAATTTTTTAAAAATTGTTTAAGCATTAAAGAGCTCACACACACAAATTCCACTTCCATCAAGCTGATCCTGACTCATAACAACCCTAAAGGACATAGCAGAACTGTCCCATAGGGTTTCCAAGGCTGTAAACTTTTACATTAACAACCTGCATTATGCTGATGACACAACTTTGCTTGCTGAAAGTGAGGATGACTTGAAGCACTTACTGATGAAGACTGAAGTCTATAGTCTGCAGTATGGATTACACCTCAATATAAAGAAAACAAAAAATCCTCACAACTGAACCAATAAGCAGCATCACGATAAATGAAGAAAAGTTGTTAAAGACTTCATATTACTTGGTTCTACAATCATCACCAATGGAAGCAGCAGTCAAGACATCAGATGATGTACTACATTAGGCAAATCTGCTGCAAAAGACTTCTTTCAAGTGCTGAAGACCAAAGATGTCTCCTTGAAGACTATGTGTACCTAACCCAAGCCATGATATTTCCAACTGCCTCATATGCATGTGAGAGCTGGGATAATGAATAAGGAAGACCAAAGAAGGGTTGATGTTTTTGAGTTGTGGGTTGGTGAAGAATACTGAAAGTACCATGGACGGCTAAAAGAACTAACAAATCTGTCCTGGAAGAAGTGCACCCAGAATGCTCCTTGGAAGTGAGAACGGCCAGACTTCATCTCACCCACTTTAGTCATATTGTCAGAAGGGACCATTCCCTGGAGAAGGACATCATGCTTGCTAAAAGTAGAAGGTCAATGAAAAAGGGGAAGGTCCTCAACGAGATGGATTGACACAGTGGCTGCAATGATGGTATAGCAAGCATCATGAGGCTGGCACAGGACTGGGCAGTATTTTGTTCTGTTGTAAATAGGGTCGCTATGAGTCAGAGAGGAGTCAATGGCACCTAACAACAACAACCTTTATGGAAGCAGACTGCTTCATCTTTCTCCCACAGAGTGGCTGGTGGGTTCGAACCGCCAACCTATTGGTCAGTAGCTGTATGCTTTAATGACCGTGTCACCAGAACTCCTAAAAAGCTTACAAGATAGTAAGAAATTATCAGACATACACACACACACATATGAAAATAATAACTCATAGGGGTACCCATAGCACAGAGAGCATTTGTTGATCTTTCTAGACCAATGCCGACTCCACGACAATGGGTTTGGTGTAGGTTTGGTCTAATGTTCTCTATCAGCTCATCGCCTTCAATGAAACAACACTGAAGTACAAGAACCGGCAAGATCTGATGCTGCCTACAATCCCAACGTTGAATGCTTGAACTGTGCCCAATAACTCAGTTTGCCCCAAAGCCTCGGTTTTCCATCTCCAACACATGTCATGCTCTCTACTGCCTGTGGGCCTTTTAACAGGTTTTGTCGCATTCTCAGTGACACAGCTGTGCCAAATGGCTGGCAAACCAACTGACTGTCTGAGTAACGAGGAACCTCCCAAGTGCCCTACGTCGCCCGCTCTGACGCCCCTCACCAGCTGCCTGTCGGCCACCGTGCGGTCGGCCACGAGGCTGTACACCTGGCTCCTCAGCGCAATGGGCGGGAGTGCATCTTCGAACAAGCCTCGCGGGAACAGCCGCACCAGCTCCGCGACGGCCGCGCGTACGGACCCTGGGTGGAGAGACCAGTCACAGAGGCAACCACTAGGTCAAGCAGGAGGCTACACAACGGGGGCGCTGTGTCCTCCGGTATCCATGGTTACCGGAGACGAGGCTCCACCCATTTGGGGTCTTTAGCCCCGCTCTGAGTTGCCATGATCACCTGATTCGCCCCTCAGAGGACCCGCTTCTCCATCCCCTCGCTCCCGGCGTCTTTTCAGCCCAAAAGTCTCCGAGACCAGGCGATGCCTCTTCCGGCTCATTATCTTGGGACTTCTGGTTTTACGGTGCTGGGGAGGAAGCAAGGATTGAGGGAGAAAAGCGTTCAAATAGGATCTTCCGGCGCAGAGAGGTGACATAGAGCTTGCTGGGCGGCCATTCTTGTGAGAGCGGGCGGTCCAGTGTAAGTACGACTACGTGATGACGAAAAGGCGTCCCCCTGTCATCTCTCCGGCCCTTGCTGGCAGAGGCAGTACCAGTGTGTATACGATAGCCCCACGCCTGCCGCTGATTGGTCCTGTCTAAGAACATTCACGTCCAAAGACGCACAGACGGGGCATAGAGGGCGCAGGCAGTCTAAAGTGGGATCGGCCTCCTAGTGTAAAGTCTGAGGCTGAGGGATTTGCTCGCCACCGTCGCTGAATGATTGCGTCATCGAAAGCAGGAAGACTACCTTTGCAACCCATTCGATTTCTTAAGTGGTTGCCATGACGTCATTGCTCAGTGGACGTGGAAGTAGAGGTTGGGAGTTTTGAGGTAATCAGATCCTGGATATGAGCCCTAACTTCCGAACATCATTCCGTTTGGAGGCGAGTGTACGGGGAGTGGGAGTAGAGGCTACGGGGAGAGACAGGGTGTGTGCCTCGGAGCGGTTCTATTTGAGATGCTGGGACCTGGATGTTTCAAGACCAGAGCTTGGCAACACGGAGGCCCACCTAGTACTGACCTGGGCTCTCCCTTTTCAGTAGCCTATTCTGTAAAATGAAAATTGTTTTCCCCTCCCAGACCTGCATGGAGCCTAGGGGGACCAAGAGAGGAGCTGAGAAGCTAGAAGTAGATGAGCCGCGGAACAAACTCCCACACCCAGCACCGTCATTGCCCACAGACCCTGCCCTCTATTCTGGGCCCTTTCCTTTCTACCGGCGACCTTCTGAAATTGGCTGCTTTTCCCTGGATGCACAACGCCAGTACCATGGAGATGGACGAGCCCTTCGCTACTACAGCCCACCCCCTATCAATGGTCCGGGTCCCAACTTTGACCTCAGAGATGGGTACCCTGATCGATACCAGCCCCGGGATGAGGAGATTCGCGAGGGGCTGGACCACCTGCTGCGCTGGCTTCTGGATCACCAAGGCCAGCTGGAAGGGTGAGCAAAACTTATTACACAGGGATATCCAGAGTCCTGCAGCTCCCCTTTGTTAAGTGCTTCAAGTCGACTTTGACCCATGTGACAAAGTAGAACATTTTCTAGGTTGTAATAGTTACAGAAGCAGATCACCAGGTCTTTCTCCCAGGGAGCAGCTCCATGGGTTCAAACTGCCAATCTTCCTGTTAGCAGCCAAGCACTTAATGGTTGCACCACCAGGGCTGCTTCTTAAAATTAAGAGACCCAAACCTGGAGTGAAAATCAGACTTCAGAAGAACACAGGCTATTCTTTGGGAAGCGATCCCAAGTTAATACTTGTGTCAGTCTTCCAACTTCTAACTCCTCCCTCTCAGGGGTCCAGGCTGGCTGGCAGGAGCTATAGTAACTTGGCGGGGACACCTGACAAAACTGCTGACGACACCATATGAACGGCAGGAGGGCTGGCAGCTTGCGGCCTCTCGGTTCCAAGGGACGCTGTACCTGAGTGAGGTGGAGACGCCTGCTGCTCGGGCTCAGAGGCTTGCTCGGCCACCTGTCCTCCGGGAGCTTATGTACATGGGGTACAAGTTTGAGCAGTACATGTGTGCAGGTGAGAGTTGCTCCTGTCTGTAGCCCTGCCACCTTCCCCAGAGACTGAGAGTCCCATTCCCTCCCCTGCTTCTCTCTTGCATAGACAAGCCCGGAGGCTCCCCAGATCCCTCTGGGGAGGTCAACACCAATGTGGCCTTCTGCTCTGTACTACGCAGCCGCCTGGGGAACCACCCTCTGCTCTTCTCTGGGGAAGTAGACTGCACAGACCCCCAAGCCCCATCCACACAGCCCCCCGCCTGCTATGTGGAGCTCAAGACCTCAAAAGAGATGCACAGCCATGGCCAGTGGAGGAGCTTCTACAGGTTCAGGGTGGGGGTAGCCAGGGCAAGAACCTAGAATTGCTGCTGGGAAAGGGACTTGGGATGGAGAAGGAAGCTTCAGGGTGAGGGCAGAATGGAGGGAGGAGGTTCCCAGTGACCCTTTGCCTTTACTTACAGACATAAGCTCCTGAAATGGTGGGCTCAGTCATTCCTGCCTGGGGTCCCAAATGTAGTTGCCGGCTTCCGTAACCCAGAGGGTTTCATCTGTTCCCTCAAGACCTTTCCCACCATGGAGATGTTTGAAAATGTCCGGGTAAGGCAGTGGTGTTGCAGCACCCAACTGTATCCCCCAACTCCAAGGCCAAGGGTCCCATGTCCAGGGCTGACTTTCCTTTCCCCCATTCCCACCCTCACTGCCAGTCTTCTGCTTCCTCCTCCACCCTCTCCAGAATGACCGTGATGGCTGGAACCCCTCCGTGTGTATGAACTTCTGTGCTGCCTTTCTTAGCTTTGTGCAGAACACGGTTGTCGAGGATGATCCCAGGTGAGGTGCTGAGCTCGACCTCTTCCCTCTTGGGCCTAGCAGCTGGGCCCCCAGCCCTCACCCCTGCCTCTGTCTCCCCCCAGGCTCATCCACCTCTTCTCCTGGGAGCCCCGCAGTCCAGTCACCGTGTCTGTACATCAAGATGCACCCTATGCCTTCCTGCCCTCGTGGTATGTGGAAGCCATGAGCCAGGACCTCCCATCACCCCCTAAGATTCCCACTCCCTGAGACTGATGCTTCAGAGGGGCTGGTCCCATATCTGTGTACAGATAATAAAGACATATTTGTAGTGGTTCTCCCTGCTGTATCGTCCAAGCTGAGCCATGCCTGCCCAGCATCTCAAGCACACATGGGTGGTCTGCTATTTTATTACATATTTATGCAGGGGTCATTCCTCGGGCGGCTCACTGGGTATAGAGGCTAGCTGCAAACACAATGTCCCGCCGTAGCAATGTAGCCGCTGTCTCCATCTTGGCACCTAACACAGGCTCACCAACCAGGCGGGCTGCTCCCCGTAGTGAGCGACACATCTCAGCCAGGCGCTGGATGCAGCGGACCACCAGGCCCTCAGGAGTCCCCGAGAGCCCTGCCAACTCAGAGAACGGCTGTGGGGAGAGCAGAGTGAAGATGAATGTGGGAGGCCTGGTTAGCGTTCCCCAACCAGCCATCTGCAAAACTCCCAAGTCCAGTCACTTACCATGCCCCGGGCCCACTCATACACAACCTCGACCAGGCCAAAGTTCAGCTCCCCTACAAATTCCTCCACTGTCTGGTTCAGGCCACAGGCCACCTGGACCTCACCAATCCGCTTGGCCACAGCCTGGACCCGTTCCACTCCCTACAAATGGGGAAGGAAGAGTTAAGGCCTGCTTTTTTGCCCCAGGATAAGGAGGCACAGAGCAAGAAAGAAGCCTTTGCTTTTTTCTTGGTTAAGTAGGTTAAGTAGCAGGGCTGGAAGGGTCACTAGAGGTTATTTGGGGTGCTGGATGTGAAAGCTACAGCCTAGGAAGAGAGGCAGGAAGATGTGGGTATCCCTACCTGCTTGAGGGTATTTGGGAGCTGATCCGCAGGGTCCCCAGAGCTCTGGCAGACCAGGCCAGAGAGCAGGGCCGCGATCTCCTCCGGCCGCAGGGCGCTCAGTGCGTTGTCAAACATGAGCTCAGTAAGGAGCAGCTCATGGCTGCTCATAGCACAAGCCACCCGCCCTGCGAGCTTCACAGTTCCTGCCTCGTCCACGTAGCCAAGGGTTCGGAGCACCTGGAAGAAAGGGGGTAGGTTATGGGGAGCCTGTGTCTTTTCTCACAGTAGCCTCCCAGCCTCTTCCCTCTGCCCCTCCCACCTCTACTCGCTGGTGGTACTCTGGGAGCAGAAGCAGTGACTGGTCTGACAACAGGAAGCGCAGTCGTTCCATCTCCTCCTGTATTTGCACTCGCTCTCGTAGCTTCAGGTACTGCAGAGGGCCCCAGGCAGGAGCCCATTAGCCTTCCCCTCACCCCTCAACAGGGGTGCACCAAGGACAAGGGCTGGGATGAGGCAAGGAGTACAGGGGGCCAGAGAGGAAAAGCATCCATCTCCTGGGTTGGGAGCTGGCATCTGGGGCCCTACCTGAGCAGGGAAACGGGGGCTGTGCACACACTGAGCCCCCCGGATCAGCTCTTCTAGCTTGCGGGCCCGGAGACCACCCTCCACCACTGACACATCCTTGAGCTGCAAGTCGTTGACAGGGTCAAGGGTAGGGGGTCCTGCTGGGTGGGCCTGAGCTAAGCGTAGCAGTTCTTGGACAGCAGTGGTTATGGCTGCAAGAGGAGGATCCTTCCTGAGGAGAAAACACCTCTTGAGACCTGGGACAAGAGCCTTCTCTCCCACTGAGGTCCCCTCAGGTGGGGCAAGCCCCCATCACCATATACACCCTGTCCCCACCTCAAGGCCCCCTCTGGCTAGGGGAGGCCCCTCACCACATCCACACCCAGCTGCTACCACACAGCCCCTCCCCTGACAAAGGGCCTCCCCAGCATCTCTGACTTGAATTTTGGTTGCTGCCTCTTGGCGAAGTCCTCCAAGATCTTCTCCCCATTCACCCGGAGCACCTTAGTAGTGATGGCAGCCACGTCTCCTGGCTGGAGCTTGGCCACGACATAGTCACAGGGGCCTGTGGAAGCAAAGAGCAAGGTAATGCTCACTATGAACCCAGGTATCCCACCTGCATTGCTGTCAGAACTAGGCACCTGCCTCACTCTTACCTTCAGGCAAGAAAAGCTTAAATCCCATGAGGTCATCTGGAAAAGGCACATCTGGGGTTGCTGGCCCCCTGTCCTGTGGGTCCTCAGACATTGGCTTATCACACAAGACCAGGGTTGTGAACATTCTGCTGGTGGAGTTCGAAGAGACCTGAGGGATGGGAAGGCCAGGACAGGGTAAAAAGAGTGGAGACCAAATCCCCACTTTCAGGTAGGGACTTTGGAAGCAGCTGTGTAGACCCCACCAGTATAAAGGGGCAACCAACTCAAACAATCAGAGCTGACTCTTGGGGAGAGGTGGGAAGAAAAGGAGGGGAGAGGGAAAACTGAGAGCACTGTGGTGACTGCAACCTTCTCTAGCCCAAATGGGAAGATGGATACAGAGCTTACTCCTATAGTCCAAGTCCCCATTCCCCTCACCTGCAGGATCACCCCCAAGGCATTGTGATGCTCTTGATTCTTCACAACCACCACCCTTCCTGCTGATAGAGATTTCAGCCCATTCACAGACTCCATGATGCACCGCTGAAAAGCAAAGATATGCACAGAGGATAAGGGAGGAGGTGTCACAAGGGACAGCGGGAACGAGGTTCAGGGCCCCTTTTATAACGTAACACCTCATACACACTCACCTGGATCAGGTTCCGGGTCTCTGTGAGTTCTTCCCCCCAGCTGTAATACTCAGGCAGGTCAACCAGTTGGCCAGACACATCCGGCTCCTCTAAGGCCTCTAGCTTCTTGGTCAGCTCAGCCAGAGACTGTTCATGGGCCTGGAGGTGGGGAGGGCATACAGAGCTGTCAAACTGAAGTCTCAGATCCAGTCTGGCACCCCTCCAACCTCCACCTGGCCTAGATGGCCACCTCTTCCCAGCCTAGCTTCCCTTATCCAGCCTCCTGCCCAGAATAGGTCACTTGACTTCCCCACCTTGCTGTCCTTGTGGGATGGAAACTCTGAAAAGCTCCTCTTCATCATGTCCTCCACCCTGAGGGCATCCACACGCAGCAGGTTGAGGATCATGGTGTATGTGAGGCGGAATTGGGACTGTAGCTGGGATGGCTTCCCCTGGGGCCGGGTCAGAGAAGTCAGAGAGATGAGGGTAGGACCTGCTATTCTCCAACCACAACTCAGTCCTCTGGAAACTACATCTAGACCTAGCAGACCTAGTCCCAGCTCTGTGACCTTGGGGCCCTGGGAAAACTGCTTGACCTCCTTCTCTGTAAAGTAAAAGGTGAACTATATCATAGACACTTGAAGGACCCACCAAGCTCCATGTTCACAGCAGGGAAAAACTATAGGAAACTTGCATCGCTTAGCTCCAGGCTCATCTTTGGATTTGCTCACTAATAGCTTGGCTTCAAAGAGCTCTGGTGGCACAAGGGTTAAGTGCTTGGCTGCCAACAGAAAGGCTGGTGGTTTGAATCCATCCAGCAGCTCTGTGGGAGAAAGACCTGGCAATCGGCTTCTGTAAAGATTACAGCGTAGACCACCCTATGGGGCAGTTCTACTCTCACATGAGATCACTATGGGTTGAAATCACCTGGACAGCACCTAACAATAACAGCAACTTACCTTCTCCCAAGCCAAAAATAAAAAGATAGGAAAAGAGGAGAAAGGAAAGAAAGTTGGAAAAAAAGAACCCAGCAAGTCCCCCAGAACTGGGGCATGCCTGGTGGCCTCACATGCCCCGCTCACCATCATCATGCGGTGCAGGTCTGCCATTTCAGGCACACGGCTCTTGCAGAGCAGGATGACAGTGCCCGTGGGGTCCAGGCCCCGCCGCCCAGCCCGGCCAGCCATCTGCACATACTCCCCAGGAAGCAGGTCCCGGAAGGTGGAGCCGTCATGCTTTCGCATAGAGTCGAACACCACTGTTCGGGCCGGCATGTTCACGCCCATGGCAAAAGTTTCTGTGGCAAACAAGACCTGGGGAGAGGGGAAGACAGAGCATCAGCAAAGGGGCTATGCCCACACCCTGGCCCCGGCCAAGCCACCTTACTTTGTAGCCAAGGCTAAACAGACATTAGGCATACCAGATCATTAACTCACAGGATTTCATTTAATTCTCCAGGCAACTCTGCGGTTAAGTACTATCAACCTCATTTTCTTTATGTAGCTACCTCTTTCTTTCCTTTTACCCCCATGTCCCATTCCCACTCCCCGAATGACAACCATCCCAACAGGTTTACCTGTACCAGTTGCACTGAGTCGACTCCAACTTACGGCAACCCCGTGTGTGTCAAAGTAGAGCTGTGCTCCACAAAGTTTTCAATGGCTCATTTTTTAGAAGGAAATCACCAGGACTTTCTCACAAGGTGCCTTTGGGTGGACCTGAACCTCCAGCCTTTCAGTTAGCAGTCAAGTGCCTTTTCTGTTTGCACCACCCAGGGACTCCTTCAATGTGTTTTTGTGTGAATATATTCTTGCAGAATATGTGTTGTTTTGTAACTTATAACTTACAAAATAAAACACATCGTTGTATATCTCACCTTGCTTAACTTCATTTTCTTGACAGAGTGTTTTCAACATCCATCTATGTTCCTGTGGTTCTATCTAATCCATGGCTTCGAAATGCAGCAGAACAACTTGTGTCCTGTGTGCATTCCCCACCTTTCACCTACCTGTTTTCCCAATGAAGGACTCCCTGTACGACCAGTGCCCCACCACCACAAACAGGATTATATAGCAAACAAACCAAGAACAGGTGTGTTCTCTCACAGACTAGGTTACGAGTTTTTTTGCAGTATCTATCCAGGGATGGAATCTTAGGGACAAAGAATATGCTACGCTTATCTTACCTAAATAGTGCCAGAGTGCACTCCTAACTAGTTACGCTTACCCACGGTATACAAGGAATCCTATAATCCTGTGTTTCTTTCAACACTTGAAAGTCGTATCTGTGGGTATTTCAATTTGCATTTCTCTGATTACTAATGATTTTCGTATCCTTGTCACCTTTTTCGCTTTCACTTCTGAAAACTGTCTATTCCTCT